TAATAATAATAATAATAATAATAATAATAATAATAATAATAAAGAAACTAAAAATCTAGTTAATTATGCGGGGTGTCAAAAAAAAGGACCCATTTAAAGTGCAATTACTTAATCATCTTTGCTTCAAAAACAGACTAAAACAGAACCTGGACATGGATGGCTGGCGCCTCTATAAATAAATTATTAATGATGGTCTTTGCTTCAATTTCAACAAAACTTTGAACAGATAAAATTCAACTAGGGACATGTCCAATTTGTCCGTATGAAGCAAATCAATTTACACATTCGAGAAATATCAAGCTTTAAAAATTTCAACCAAAATTGAGTAAATGCAAAACTTTACTTCTTAAAAGCTTTCAGTTTCCGGGGCATGATCAGCCCATTCTGGTTTCAGGACAAGGATGGTAAAAATCACGAGCGTTAAATCTGATGGATATCTCTGCGTGCTGAGAAAGTTTTTGAGAAGTTTGGGGAGGAGAAGGGGTTATGCTGTTGAGGAGGGCCTGATTCAAGAGAGGCCCGTGCATTGTTACAACAAAGATTTGGGGAAATGGGGAAATGCCTTGTCAGTTGAAAACTTACAAGTAAATGGTCACATCTTTACTCTTGACTTGAACCTCTTCAATTATTTTTCTTTAAGCATATTTTGACAGACAAGGTCTACGGAAACAAAACCACAAATGGTCAAACAGTTTAAATTCAATGTTGAACTGGAGGTGCAAAGAATCACCACAGAAACACGCCACAGGATTATTCATGTGTCTAAAAATACTTAAAAGCACAGACAGAATCCCACCTCAAAGCTCTTTATGAAAAAAACTGTATCTATGCAAAAAGAATTTAAGAAAAATTATTCAAAAAGAAGTAAAGAGACACAAAAATAATCGACTCGACATACCTGAAGACAGTTCTCCAAAGACCTCACAAAGTTTGGGTTGCTGAACTTGATGACTTCCAACTTATTGGCTTTCTCCATGTTCTTCACCCACTTGTTTGCCTGGCCTTGTGGGTCAATCATCAAAGGCCAGCGGTTGGCACTCATCACAATGATGGCGTTGTCCACAGAGTAGCTGAACAAGAGAAATTTTGTTTCAGTACAAGTTTAGGATATTCAAAGTGAAAAAATGTTTCTTTTGTTTTAGTGTTAAACAAAATTTAATTTTAGTAAGAGTTATATGGCACTTGCAACACAATAAGGTCAAAAAAGTGCCAAAGATTAGAGGTGTTACAAGAGAGTAACAAACACCAAAAAAAAGGACGGATAAGGATGATTGATGTTTGATAGGAAAGAAGTCAAAAACCACACACACCACAGCACCTGCTAATCACTCACTATAGTAAAAGAATATCCATTTGAACAGCCGTTCTTCAGCAGCAAAAAGATAGTTAAATCTTCAAAGGTAAAGGCAAATTACAAAGAAGCAAAATATAAAAACAACTGTGTTTTAAAAAACCTCTGAGGCACATCTGTACATCTGTTTACTACGTGTTACGAACAAAACTCACTTGTCAGCTGGCAGTCCAGCAATCTGCCATTCACGGATTTTGACCGGTTCCCCGAGGGTGTTGGATAGAGAGAAAATGTCAGAGACTGGAACCTCTCTCTCCTGGCACTGAACGAACCACTCCTGGGTGCATTCCTGCAAGGAAAATGATACAAAGCCACGTTTTAAACTTACTATGAGGCATATGGTATGGCAAGGTGAGGTATAGTAAGGTGTGGTGTGGGGTGGTGTGGTGTGTTGTGGTGTGGTGTGGTGTGGTGTGGTGTGGTGTGGTGTGGTGTGGTGTGGTGTGGTGTGGTGTGGTGCAATGTGGTGTGGTGTGGTGTGATGCAATGTGGTGCGGTGTGGTGTGGTGCAATGTGGTACGGCGCGGTGTGGTGTGATGCGGTGCGGTGTGATGTGGTGTGGTGTGGTGAGGTGTGGTGTGGAGTGGTGCGGTGTGGTCGGGTGTGGTGTGGTGTGGTGAGGTGTGGAGTGATGTGGTGCGGTGCGGTGCAATGTGGTGTGGTGTGGTGAGGTGTGGTCTGGAGTGGTGTGGTCTGATGTGGTGTGGTCTGGTGTGATGTGGTGTGGTGGGGTATGGAGTGATGTGGTGTGGTGTGGTGTGGTGTGGTGTGGTGTGGTGTGGTGTGGTGTGGTGTAGTATGGAGTGGTGTGGTGTGGTGTGGTGTTGTCTGGTGTGGTGTTGTGTGGTGTGGTGAGGCGTGGTGTGGTGTGGTGAGGTGTGGTGTGGTGTGGTGTGGTGCGGTGAGGTGAGGTCTGGTGTGATGTGGTGTGGTGAGGTGTGGAGTGATGTGGTGTGGTGTGGTGTGGTGTAGTATGGAGTGGTGTGGTGTGGTGTGGTGTTGTCTGGTGTGGTGTTGTGTGGTGTGGTGAGGCGTGGTGTGGTGTGGTGAGGTGTGGTGTGGTGTGGTGTGGTGCGGTGAGGTGAGGTCTGGTGTGATGTGGTGTGGTGAGGTGTGGAGTGATGTGGTGTGGTGTGGTGTGGTGTAGTATGGAGTGGTGTGGTGTGGTGTGGTGTTATCTGGTGTGGTGTTGTGTGGTGTGGTGAGGTGTGGTGTGGTGTGGTGTGGTGAGGTGTGGTGTGGTGTGGTGCGGTGCGGTGGGGTGTGGTGTGGTGTGGTGAGGTGCGGTGTGGTATGGAGTGGTGTGGTGCGGTGAGGTGAGGTGTGATGTTACGTGGCGTGGTATGACATGTCATGGTTTGGGTTGAATATGCTTATCACTGCTGTAAAGGTCTTCTAGATGGCAGGTCTCGAGCTAAGCGGGTGGAGAGCCTTGACAATTCCCAAGAACAATCTAAGTTCAACAACATCCCATTGCACGGCTGTTCCACTCAGGATCACTTAGTTGCCGGCCGACCTGACCTCCGAGACGAGGTCACGCCCCGGTCACGCTACCTGTGGGCGCTCGGCCTCGCAGTCAGCGGCTCCCCCGCGATGTTATGTTTTGTACACATAAAACAACACCAGTTCTTATGGAAGCCGAGAAAGACAATGAAACAACAACCAAATGATCACATGAAGATGAAGGTGTAGTTTACGACAGTATAATTTTTATCACGGAGAAGTAAAAGAAAGTGTTGTTTAAAAGAGGGGGAATGTGGCTTTCATCATAGATTGGTTATTACAAACAAACATGTTTAAAAAAAAAAAATTACAAATAAACAGACCGACAGATTGTTACAGTCTTCATTTTCAGCTCACAGTCAGACTTTGAATTTTCAAACACACGTACATTTATGAGGTATGACCAAAAAGTCTTGTTGCTATAGTTAATTAATGCACACAGTCTTGTCAATGAGTGGGAAAACACTTTTACTTCTACCAGCAACCGACTGCCTGACTTTGTTAATTATATTTGTTCTTCGTTTTCTTTTTGGTGAGCTTGCTAAGTAAGATGATATTCTGTGTGTGACTATCCTTTGAAACACTAATGGCTGTCCTTTTGTTTTGAACCTCAACTGTCCTTTCATCTGAGATGTGTTAAGCTTTCGTCTGATCAGATGTGTAGCAACTTTTTCTTCTAACGGCGTGAGTGGCTCTGTGTCCGATTTCAAAAGTGTTGACTCTAACGTCGTTTCATGTTTGACTAATGGGGAGCTCGTACTGTCTGTGAACAGTTTCGTCTTCGTTTTAGGTGTGGATGTCAAAATATGAGTTTCTGGTGAAATGTAAAATGAGTCTTCGTCTGTATGTGTAAATGTGCTGTCAATGGATTGAGTGGTAAAGGGTTGAGCACCATCGCCTGTACTTACAGAGGAAACATCTGGGGTGGGGGTATCCGTTATGCTCACAGACTCCACTGCCATACGAGCAGGGGACGGAGAACGCAACTCGTGTCCTTCCGTAAGCAAAGGAATGCGCTCTTTAATGCACCCTTTGCGCAGTTTAACGCAGCGAGCACACACAAAGCACTCGTTAATGCTTATGCTTGCGTCGTAAGCGGACCAAACATAGGCACTGTCTTCTACACATTTCTGTGCGGCATTCAAAGCCGCATTTGTAATAATTTTGCTTCCATAGTGTGTATATTCGCGAGCTACATTTCCTGCACAGAGTGTTGGAATGCTTGTCGGCTGTGTTGTTGTCAATGTTCAGTCTATAATATTGCAATAAGTCAGACTTATTTTTCAGACTAAGTTTTTACACAAAAATCGACGCTGCTTAGAAACTTTAGTTTTTAAACTTCTTCCACCACAAGCACGACACAACTTTAAATTCTCAAAGTGGATGTTATAAGAGTGTTCCAACTTTGATGTTAAAAGGCTCTATAATTATAAACACACAAGAAAGTCAGACGGCAAGTTCCCGCTTCACAGAGTTTTTCTTTGCACCGAATGTTGCACTAGACTAGTCACATAAAGTGCGCTAGTTCATGGAAATTTAGCTCGTACCCTGAGATTTTTCACTACAACGGAGAGAGTAGATTTATAAAAAGAAATATGAAGGTTAAAACAAAAATTGGCGGTTCGAATTATCAAAATTCTCTTTTAAATCCAAAAAATTCAATAATACAGAGCTGTACAACAGTGGTAGTATATAGGTATCCCAACGAAGTATAAAACGTGATAGAAACTGGTTTCAAACTGCGGGTTATAGAGGAGATGCTGAGCTTTTATTTGGTATATAACACTCCAAGGTTTACGGGATGGAGAAAGGGAGTACTATGCTGTAAATTCCAGTTAATTTCTGGAAATCGTACCCTTTCCGCGCGGAGCGGTCAGATCTAGGGATAGGCCGGTGGAAGTGGCATAATGCGTCGAGATTTATTACCTTCCGCGAGGGGTCACAGGGGTCAGAAGGGCTACAACTAAGTGCGCCGCTCGGAGAGTGAAACTGAACAGCCGTGATTGAAGAATAGAACCACGGTCACTTGAACAGTATACCAGCATGATACTAACTGAGACCACGCATTTGGACAGACAAATTTACTACTTCTCATTAAAAAAAATATTGTGCTTGACTTTACAGGCATTTTGTTGGCACCCTTGAAGCTTTCTGTCCAGTTCAATAGTCAAAATTTTACTCATCATTGCTTCCAAAAAGATTCATACCTGGCAAAAATTGTGACATACACAGATAACTGACCTGTAGGACTATGCTTGTAAGTAATTCTGATTTTGAGTCCCCAAACAACATTCCAAAGTTTGTTAAGAATATGATATCCTGGACAGAGCAGAGAGAGAACAAAAATCTGAAGAATCTGAACTCTTAGCTCCATAAAAAAAAAACTACAGAGATGCAACTTTTAAGATTTTTACACTTTCATTCAATATTGACTATGTTTATGACTCTTCACCTGTCTGTAGTCAAGGATGAAAGGTCCCAAGTAAGCCACAACTCCAGCAGAGAGCAGCACATCACCGATAATGTTGTCATAGGTGGCGTTCAGCTGCTCCACATTCTGTCAAGACAAAGAACATGCATTAAATAGACTGCAAAAGTCTTAACTCGTTTAAAGCAGAACATTCAGTTTGTGACTCGTTTAACTCTTTATCTCCAGCAAGCCGTTCCCAGTTGCTCACGGTCAGAACTGCAGTGCCAGTGAGCTGCATTCCTTTATGACGACTTCGACATCAAATTACTTTCAGCAATTGCCGAAAACAAGTCTCTTTCACCGGAGTTTCATTCATAGATGAAGAACTATCAAAATAGGTCCTTCTGTTTTAATTGAATGACCAAAATAGTAATGTAAATGTCAGTTTTAGATTTTGAACCAAAATAAAACCCCAGCATAGTTGGTTTTACCCCCCCCCCCCCAGAGATAAAGAGTTAAAACAAAATGTTTTGTTCTTTTATACTCATCAAAATCTTGTTTCAACTCGACAAGGAACCCAATAAACCCTTCTTTTTTAACTTGAATATAAAAAAGAAAGAAAGATCTTTAGCACACCTCTTTCTGACACTATACCCACTCTATAATATAAAATGAACCAGCTTATTTGAGCTCCCCAGCTGTCAGTTCATTCAAAAGAACCCCCAAAACAAACAAATCAAAACAAAAGATTTACAGTTTATATTTCAATTCACACTAAGGTAAGCTGTTGCTGTGATGGAGATTTTCCTATTCGAAGGCACAGAGACGAATGACAATATTTATAAAATAAACTTACCTGTGTCCATCTGTCTTTCTCTCCACCCAAGCCACTGATGAGTTTGTTTGCTCGGTCTATCTTTACCTTGGTCAGCTCAATGTTATCTTCAAGATTCTGAAAAATTCATCAGAAAAAAAATTCAATTTCCATCATTTTGAACACAGAGGGGTAGCATTTTGTCACCAGTTAAATTTCTCAAAAGACAAGTTTTAGAATTTGATAACATATCAATGAAGTGGTAAAGGTTTACAGTGAAAAGAAGTAAAAAGCATACAGCTTTCATCAAATAAAAAGTCACTCTATTTTGTAAACAAAGCACTTGTTCAAATAAAATTAACTTACAAAGAGACTATGATTCTTAACGTCTGTTGTTTCGAAAATTGTACAAGTTTTGAATGTTTAAAAGTGCATCAAGACAGTAAAGGTCATTTAGTGCTGGAAAAAAGCAAGACTGAAATAACAGAGGCAAAGTAAAGAAGATCTACCAGAACCATTGGCACCCTCAAATCACCTGCAAAATGTTATTATCTTTCCACCACGATCAGTCAGATATACACAAATACACAAAAAACAAAAGAAAAATACTCCTTTTACCACTGTTGGAAAAAAAATTATCAATTAAAACTGAAACGCTCTCAAAATAAGTTTTAATGTGTTCTGTGTTAGAACGGATGTGAAAGGGGCATCGTGAATGACACTAATGTTTTTGAATAAAAATTCCTGAGAAGAACAAATAATTTCAGTGTTCAAGAAAAAGAACTTTCAATTTAAACCCAGACTTCTCACTGTAAAAGGTTGGTTGCATCAACACTACAATTCTCAAGGACAAACAGATTATATTAACAGCAATATGTGAGGTGTGCTGACAAAATGAGTTACTTCTCACAATCTACAAATCGATAAATTTACAAAAAATCTACATCAGGGTCAACTTTGTAGATTTTCTATTGATGCCATTATTCCTTAAATATAACATGCCTTTTATTATTTCATACTTATTAATTGTAAAAACTTCACCTATAAGCATGATGTATCTATTTCCATAAGGCTTGAATCTGAAAAGTAGCTCATTTTGTCAGCACGCTTCATATATACATCATCTGCTAAGTGTAAGACTCTGCCATATACAATCTTAAAAAGTGACACATGACAGAGCCTTACACTGAGCGGTCAACAGGTCAAACCTTTTTCTCCGTCTGCTTCTGCACCAGGTTGTCATTCAGGGCCTGCAGTTTGTCTGTGACAGCTTTGAGCTCTGCCTGCTTCACCCTCAGTTTCTCCATCTGCTCTGCCAGAACTGCTTCAGCTGCCGCCAGACTCTCCTGCTTCGGGGCGACCACCTGCAGGATACACATAAAGCATCTCTTGAAAAAGTGGTGAAATGGTATGGGGTTAACACTCCTATCAACACTATTAGGTTATTTAAGAGGCGGGACCTCTGAGTTTAACGCCCGTCTCCGAATGGACAGAGCCAAGAAGGAAATTTGTGCAAAGAGCCTTTTCCAAGGACGCAACGTCGGACCGAGCTGAGGCTCAAACCCCAAATCCACAATCTCACGATTACGAGTCCAGTAGCCTAACCACTAGGCTACCGACGCCACCAAGCATCTCTTGAGCATCACACCAAATATATATAGGATTCACCACAGGCAGAAAGGCAAAGAAGGACCTTTTTCTATAAAACGGCATCAAATTTTGGGGTTAAAAAAGAAGTTTTAGTGAGCGTTTCACAGCACTTGCAACACATTAGGTCATATAAGTACCAAAGACTAGAAATGTTACAAGAGAGTAACGAACAAAAAAGAAGGAGAGATAAGGATGATAGATATTTGATAAGAAAAAAAGAGCAAACGACACCAGAGCACCAGCTAACCACCCACCATCTAATTCTGAAGAATTTGAGTGAGCTTTTTAAAAAAAATACATAGCCTCAAAAAATTGTTTCTGTGTAACGCACTCACCTTGGCAACACTGTCGTACACATCTATGGCCTTGACCCATTTACATAAGCCCTCACACGCAGAGGACACATTTTTTATTATTGCAGGGTCAAATTCCTTGTTAGAGATGTATCTGTCCCGAATCTTTTTGATCGTGGGTCCTGGGATGTGGTCTTTGTCATATTCTTTGAGCGACTCGAGGAACTTCAAATCACCCAACATCTGAAATTCAAAATAAAAAACGCATTAGAAAATAAATAGCAAAGACATGGCACATTCTCTCTCACTCTCTCTCCCCTCTATCTCTCTCACTCACTCTCTGTATTTCACCTTTTAATTCTCTAAGGAGCCCTCAAACAAAGATGTCTCCCTTGTGCACCTTTCCCAGGTAGAGTCCAATTCTTGCTGTTTTTTGTCATCTGTCACCATTTTTCTCTGCTGAGTTGTCCTTGGCCTCCCTCTGTTCTTCTTACTCTTTAGATTTCAACTCAGTACCTTTCGGGTTATATTTAGCACTGATTTCTTGTATGTCTGATTCATCGTCATCTTTTCTGTTACATTTCTTACTTCATCTTTCTTACATTTGCCATCTTCAACTAGTCATCAATTGTGGCAAAGTCAGACCATAATAGGCCTAAAATTCAAGACCCATTGATAAATGATTTATGAAAGCAGCAAAATTTGGGACACTTGAATAGACAAAATGGCCCAGAACATCTAGCTCTCAATAGTAAAATTGAAGGCAAACTAGGCAGGGATAGCCCCAAGAGCAACCTACTTGGAAAGCCTAAACAGATGGGTGATGGGGAAAGGTCGGGATAATGTAGCTTTTTTTAAAGCATCTGAGCAAAGGAATGAATGAAGAACCATGACTGCCGATATCCGTCGCAGATCTGGTATTTGATGATGATGATGGTGATGATGAGCCTTACGTAATCTCCAGAGCTTTGCTCCATTCAGCAGAATAGATTTCACATTGCTTTTGAATAGTGTTTGCTTAGTGTTTGATAACTTCTAGAAAGTAGGCTACACTTTTTTGGTCTAAAGTCCATGGAACGCTTTATATTTTTCTAAATGGATAACGGTTTGACAATACCCAATGGCATTTCTGTAGAAACGTCTACTTTTTTTCAGGTTACAAAATGCAACTTTCACTAATCACAAGAAATCATAATTAAAAAATAACTAAAGTGTTACAAGTGGTACAAATTTCACCTTGATCAAAGTTAATCTATTGGCCAGATAAAAAAATGATTGTTGATAGCTGGTACCAAAGACAGCAGATAACTGACATTATTACCTTTTTAGCAGCAGGCCAGAAGTCCTCAAACGGTTTTCCATTTGGATCCACCTTTCTCTCCGGTTTGATTCCCTGTGAATAGATTGAACGATATTTTAAATCTCCAAAGAACAGCAACCATACAAGAGAGAATTAAAACAACCCAGGAATATACAGATAAAAGTCTGAATAATTTTTCACATTCTTTGAGACACAACTTGCAAACATGCAACATAAACCTAAACTGTCAGTGGAAAGACAATAAAAATGAACATTGTTATACCGAAATAAAGTTAGGAATCAAGATAAACTTATTATACAGCGAATTCAAAGGCTCTCAAGACTGCTGCCAAGGATAATTTGAAGCCTTGCTCTTAGACACTGATAAAAACATCTGGAAACGTAGAAAATATTTCAATATTAGGGAAATTCACATAGCTTGATATGGCCGGTCATGTATAAGAAATAAAACTGAAAAATGAATATAATTCAATTCCTTCCCCCCCCCCCCCCCCAACCCCCAAAACTATACTGAGGTAGCCAAACTACTAATTTTCATCAATCAGAACAGACAGAAAATGTATCCAGGGTGTGATACTGAGGTTTTAATAGCAATGCATGATGGCTCTCCTCTTGGGAAAAGTTATAAGGAGCGCTACAGGCAAACTTGTTAAGACATCTCTAACATGAATTACACCCCCATAGGCAGCATTTTAGTTTGATGAAGTTCTGTTGCCCTAGAATATAGGTGTGTGTGTGTGCCATGAGAAAGGTCCCAGTTGTCAGCAGCTTTGGATATTGAAATAAGGGCATATTCTTGTAGTAAATTTAATGCTGAGCACTCCGATTGTTAAAAATTTTCGAATATCTTGAGCAATTAAAAAAATATGCCACATTTTGTAACACAGGGTATAAAAATAAAGTTTGGAGAAAAACCCAATTTCTAGCACATTTCTAACTTTTGGTGAAGTACATGATACAACATGCTGCAAAAATAATTGCTAAAAAATTTTAGACTTAAAATATTACAAAATCCTTTCAACATGTTATTAAGAAATAATAATAATAATAATAATTGCATTTATATAGCGCATATCCATGCTCAAGAGCAAGCTCTATGCGCTTTACAACTATTATTACCCCAGCAGACCCTCTGAGAACACTCAGAAACATTCTCGGCTTCCACAGAAGCATACAGTGCAAGCTGCGGATTTCACGCGAAAATTTGTGCAAAGTGCCTTTCCCAAGGACACAACGTTGGGCCCCTGACGGGATTCGAACCCACGACCTTACAAGTCCAAGAGCCTAACCACTGGGCCACCGAAACCACGAAGTGGTTAAACATGAGTTTTCTGATGGAACTAAATTTCTGACCAGATACCACTTTTTTGCCTTTTCACACCGTTGCTCAAAAATAGCTTTGCTGACAACTGGGCCCTTTCTCCAGGTACACACATATAATACACACTTTCTGCACGCATTTAAAGCCAAAAGCCCCCACAACTGCTATCAAGTGTTCATCAAAGTAAAAAATATGCAAGAGGCCAGGCGGAGAAGGGAATGTAGCCACCTGCAGCAAGTTAAAAATGCAATAAAGGACACTACCATGAAACTCGCCAGAGAGAGGTTCCGTTATCTAGGTGAATGTGGATCTACATATTACTCCTTCAAGCATAACAAATAATTTGTATTGTAATTGTAGAAACTAGAGGAGGCAGCATGTTATTAATTTTTTTAAATTTATTAAATTTGTGTTTACCTACATACAAACAAAACTTTGGAACATTCATGATTTCTGGAATTACAAAAATACAGTTGAACCTGCTCTAAAGACCACCTGTCCAAGACGATAGCTTGTACAAAAAAACTATTTCCCACTTCCCCCTTGGGTTTTTTCTACATTATAATGACACTATCCAAGAGGACCACCTGTCTAAGATAACTACTTTTCTCCTCGACAATGCATGGTCATCTCGGACAGGTTTTGACTGTACAGTTGGCCATTGGGAAACTCAAACATGTCAGGGATTTGACATATCCATTGTTCAGTTTAAGCAATAATGACAAATTTTAAAGATATCAGTCAGGGAATGGCAAATTGTACGAGCTATCCATGATTTGAATTTTCCTGTGTTTGTATTATCTGCACAACAAATGCATAATAAGTGTCAGGACATGGTGGGATCAGGAGCTTGTCAGTTTGTGGGCATAGGGAGTTATTTGTATTAATTAAAAGCTTTTTCATTTGTCTTGCTTTGACAAAACAAATACCCTTCTATCTTGAATAGAAATCAAGATATTTGTGATTGAAGGAGGAAGGGATTGGCGGGTTTCAGAGTTAAAATCAGCGAGAAAATGGCCGCCATAGTTTGGTTATTTCCATAGTTTGAAAGTCCTTGGAACCAGAAAATTTACATTTTTTGTGCCTTTAATCAACGTTTTTCAGTAAAATCCACACTGAATTGTGTTTTTAATAAGACGTAAAAAATGTTGAGCCAAAAAAGAAAATTCGAAAATAACTACCCAACTGACAGAAAAATGCCAGTTTCTTTGATTTCACTATTTTGATGAGCGCCTGATTTCACCACGACACTACACATATGAAAAAGTGGCCCTTAAATACAATCATACAAAATCCACTCACTTTGAGGATGCAGACACTCTCCATGACCAGCTTGACGCCGGAGGGTGGGTTAGCCATGGCCTTCACGATGCTGATATCATTCTGCTTGAGAGTGTCCAATGCAGTGATGGCCGCATTCATGGCAGGCATTGCAATAGACAACTTCTCCTCACAGTCAATCTGAAGAGGGTGATTCAAACATAAATCTTAACATGAGATCGCCGAGTCTTAAATATAGCACAGACATTTTGTAAATTGCTGAATTACAAAGAATTGACTCATATTTTACCACCAGAGACAGAAAGAAATTTTGTTTTCTTATGTTTGTACATGTAATGTTTTAAATGTTATCAATGTTGTAGCTTTATAAACAGTAATTACTCCTTTCTTAACTCATTACAAAAAATGAACCACAACAGATCTCCAGAAACAATATGAAAATATAATAAGGTATGGAAAGCAACTATTTTAACCTGAATAGAAACAAATATCTCCAAAGTTTGACTGTGAAATCCATGTCACTATCTTCTATGCTGCCTGCACTGCAAGTGGCAGCTTGCATAAAGATACAGTGAGTTAAAACATTTTTTGAGTCTCCTCTCCAAAAGAAGCTTTGTTAGTCCCATGAATTGCTTGCCACTATGATAGCAGAATATGCATTCCAGAATCTTCTCAAAGCTCTAGATTAATGTCTACAAGTCCAATTGGAAGATTAAATCTATTTTATCTCACCAGACCAGTGTTGTAAAGCCTCTCTATCATTGCATCATGTAGAAGATATAAGTTCAATTCCACGGCGGGGATATTTATTTTATCATTTATTTTATCGAGTATCTGCGTCTTTCTGTTGGGATGCTACATCCCACTCAACCCGGGTTGGCCTTGACAGGCAAAGCTGAAGCATCGTGCCTTCTAAAGGATCTGAGAATTGTGTTGATGGAGAACATTTTAAAAATTACAATTATATCAATCAATCAGTCATATCGTCACACTTTGTGTGTTGTTTCAGTGTGTTGTTTCAGTACATAATATTTTATGTGTTTTCTCGTTGTGAGTACGCGTGAGAGCACCTGAAGTTCCTTCTAACACCATTGCCAGTGTAAAGGACCAAGACAAATTTCTACTTGTGTGATGAATAAAATTTTTTACTGTCATTTAAATCTGAATCCAAGAATGTCAGTGCCCACCTTAATAGCCTCAGCTTCCTGAGCAGACTTGTTGGCAACAGCCTCATCCACCTCCACAATACGCTTGATGTCCTCCACCTCAATGGTCTCACGTTCTATGATGCCGATCAGTTCCTCTGTCTCCTTAGAGGTCTCAATCAGCTTGGGTTGTAAGTCCACCAGTTCTGTCTGCATCACATTGATCTGAAAAATGTGGGAAATTGTAAAGGTTAAATGCCCCTTGTAACATGATGCCGATCAGTTCCTCTGTCTCCTTAGAGGTCTCAATCAGCTTGGGTTGTAAGTCCACCAGTTCTGTCTGCATCACATTGATCTGAAAAATGTGGGAAATTGTAAAGGTTAAATGCCCCTTGTAACATGATGCCGATCAGTTCCTCTGTCTCCTTAGAGGTCTCAATCAGCTTGGGTTGTAAGTCCACCAGTTCTGTCTGCATCACATTGATCTGAAAAATGTGGGAAATTGTAAAGGTTAAATGCCCCTTGTAACATTGTATTTAAAGCCTCTCTATCATTGAATCATGTAGAAGATATGAGTTCAATTCTGAGTTTAACATCCATCTCCAATAGGACCAGGCCAAATGGGAAAATTTGTGAAAACCAACTACAAGAAGGACAATATGTTGGACCAGGCTGAGCCTCAAACCCCAGAAGCGTGCCCTCATATGACCTTATGCAGTTGCGAGCGCCGTAAAACATTTACCACGAAAAAAAACCCAGAACTCCCAGTCTCACAATTACAAGTCCACTAGACTGACCATAAGCCTCTCATACAAACCTACATCAGATATGAAGAAGAAAAAAAATGAGCATTGGGTCATTTAAAAATTAAGAAAACAGCTATAAATGAAGACCATTTATAAATTCTACCATGATACATACCTGGCTCTCAGAGAACTGCAGCTTCTCAAGGCCAACGTTGTAACGATTCTTGAGCGTAAGGATCTCCAGCCGTTTCTTCGACAACAAATTCTTGAAGGTTTTAATGAGCTCCAAGTAGGAGGTGGGTGTCACATAGTTGACGCGTCGCATCACATCATAGTACCTAAAGATACAAAGAAATCTGTTTGAGCTTCTAACTTAACTACATCACTGCATTCGCAAAATGGCACATCTCGTTTTTGCTACTTTTAAGATAAAAAGGAACTCTTCAACAAGACTATTTATTGTTTAATAATGGTAAAACTTGCCACGCATGTTTCTTTTGTGACTACCAGTGCATTTTTGTTTCGGTTTTAACGAAAGATAGATATAGTACTACCAAACAAAATAAATGTCTGGTTCCATTTTGGCACAACTCAAAGTTAAGTCATTTTGCTAGTGCAGTGACCTTTATCCTATATGATGACACTCCTCATCAGTGAGCATCCAAATGTGGAACTTCTCCTTCTACATATGTTTCAAAGAAACTATCTAGTGTGTCAGTGTGCTGGTTAACACTTATACGACCTTGTATTGTAGATACTGCTATAAGAGCATGTTCTATCTTATCATCTCATCTTATACTTTTCTATAACAGACAAGAACTAACAGCTTTTTGCCCTTAGCACAGACCACTGGATCATTAGATCAAAATGAAAATACTATCAATTTTTTCCAAAAGATTCATATCAGATCTTTTTTCTTCTTCCTTGATTGCCTCTGATTCTGACAAATTTCACTCCCACTTTGTTTGCCAATGATTATTCAAAACATTGTGTGTTCAACTGATTCAGTATAATGATATTGATTCAGGTTTCTATTATTAAATTTAAGAAGAAAGAAATAATTTTTTATGGATATTTCTTTGGTTAAAGACTTACTAGGGGGCTCTCGTGGCCTAGAGGTTAAGGTGTTGGCCTCTCATTCAAAGGTCCCGGGTTCGAATCCGGGTAGCGACCAAAAAATTTTCTTCTCTAAAATTGTCTCCTTTCACCTCCTTTCCTGCTCTCTAGCATTGTTCTGTTGTCTGCTTTCATTTCCACTTTCTGCCCCCACCCCCTCACCTCCTTTGCCCCCCTCCTCTGGACTCCTGACTCTTTCTGCAGCCTTTCTACTGCTACTCCTTGGCTCCTCCTAACTGCTGTCTTTCTGCCACACCCCTGATCTTCTGGTAGGAAAGATCTACACCTAGCCTTCTCGGACAAGGGCGAAAAATCTCTGAGGGCCCGTGTGCAAGTTGCGCACGTTAAAGAACCCTTGGTGGTCTAAAATCGATAAGAGTAGGCTTCGGCCGCCACCCGGGCAAAATTCAAAATTTCCTACCAATGAAAAAGTATTAGGTGTGTCCCGTGCGCTCATATGACCTTATGCATTTGCGAGCGCTGTAAAACCCTATACTAAACAAACAAAACAAGACTTACTAGGAAAATCCCAAGCCATGATGAGTCACACATAACAAGCCAGTTGAGTCCAAGTCTAGAAGACCTAAATATTTTTTTGCAACTTACAAAGAAAGATGATGGTTATACCTTTGAGAGAGTGCCCGTACACTTTGGTGGAAATGTTTGCACATGCTGACAGTGTTGGTTCGAACCTCTGAGGACATCTCCACCTCGTCCAGGAATTTGTTGGCCACCAGCTCCAGGGCATCCTCTGGCCATGCCTGACGAACACAGTCAAGCAACAGGCAAAAGTTAATAATAACAATAATAATAATTATTATTATAATAATGATAATGATGATGATGATATGATGATGATGATAATAATAATAATAATAATAATAATAATAATAACAATAATAATAATAAAAATAAAAACAACAATAATATAATAATGCTGATGATAATGATGATGATGATAATAATAACAACAACAACAACAATAATAATAAGTGGGATTTGTACAGCACACATCCCTGCTCGACAGCAAGCTCCATGTGCCTTACACTTTATTATTACCCCAGCAGACGCTAGAACACTCAGAAACATTCTCGGCTTCCAAGGAAGCATACAGTGCAGGCAGCTGATTAAATACTCAAACACTATTTTTTTTAAATAAAAAAAATCAGTTTTGGATAAATGCAGCCAGAAAAGTGACTGAAGGGACACTGAACACATTGTTTCAGTTGCATTCTTAAAAACTGATGTGCAGTTTTGATTTTGAGTGAAAACAAGACCGCTCATTAGTGCAGCTTATTTTATACCACAGTGGCAAATGAAATAGCCTTTACAGAAGTAGGGACATAGAGCATAAGGTGAAAGTCTTGCTTACAAATGTTCCTAAGTAAAGGGAAAATAAGTACAATATGTAGGTCTTGGAACATGGATGGCTGAGAGTAGAATAGAAATTATGGGAAATAAAACACATAGATTGACTCTGTCTGTCCTTGAATAATTACAGAAATATATATGTGTCACGATGTGATAGAATCAGGCACTCGTCAATTTTTGGGCATGCGGAGTTGTTGGTATCATCTGAAAGCTTATTCATTTGTTTTGCTTTCAATGAAAAAAATATACATCTATCTTGGATAGAACTCAAGGTATTTGTGATAGAAGGAGGAGAGGTCGCCTGGTTTCACTGTGGTTAAATAAGCGAGAAAATGGCCGCCAAAGTTTGGTATCTCCAATAGCTACAGAGTCCTTGAAAACTGGAAAAATAAAATATTTGCGCCTTTAATAAACTTTTTTTCAGTAAAATTCAAATGGAAATATGTTTTTGTATAGACATAAAACGATTTGAGCCAAAAAGCAAAAATTCGATAAAAATTGCCTAACCAGCGGAAAAGTGCCTGTTTCTCCGGTTTCGTTATTCTGACGAGTGCCTGACTTCACCACGATGCTTCACATATATACTTACATCCTCGGTGTAGTGGTTAAGCCCTTTGCCATTGCACACAGAGGACCTGAGTTCAATTCCTGTGTGGGAACAGTTTTATCGAGTATCTCGGTATTCCATCAGAGACGTTGTATTCTACTTTGCCCAGGTTGGCCTGATAAGCAGGGTCAGTCTTGCTTCTAAATTACCTAAATTTCCATAGATGGTTGTGTAAAACAATCACATATTTTTTTAAGGAAAAAAAATGATCAAGTTGTGTGCGGTAGGAGGTTATACTCTTACAAAACAAATTGTCCCCTACCTTGAACCAGTCAATGGTACAGCAGTTGATGAGAGATGGGAACATCCTCAGCCTGTTCCTGAAGGCATCTCCGATGGGACTGAAGGCGAGGACAACGTGGAGGTGGCGACGGATACGCTCGATGAATTTGTTGTACATGTTCAGAGGAGTGAACTCAATCTGGGCATTTTCCTTTTGGCATAAATTCTGCATCTGTGCAGGCCAGGGTTAAGCAAAAAACAATTTATATCAACTCGAAATATATTCATGAGGTAGAATCTTCTTGAAAACACAGAGTAATGATGACGTTAGCAAGCACAGCAACAATAAGCAAAAATTAAAAGTTTTTAGCTCAACAAATAAAGATGTCTTTATCTTGCTTTGATAAGGCTCTGTCGTATTACCTCGCTAGATGCACACTGGTATAATGAAAGTCATTTAAATGTAAGACAAATCCAAGAACAATAATAAAAATGTAAAAAGGGTATAGATAATTATACTTAAATTATTTTAAAACAGTAATGTTTCTTAGTTTCATATTCTCGTTACTCTGAAGAAATCTGTCAGTTGATATATTAAAAATAAAATGTAGCAATGAAAAGCTGTAGAAACAGAGCTAGAAAAATAAACCACAATCTAAAAACAACAAGATTTCATTATCATAACACTGGCTGAAGTGTAAAGCGCATTACAGACTGCTTCAAAGCCTTTTTTTTACCACTGAATTTCTTTTTTTCTGCACAAAAACCCAAGGGTCTATTAAAAGAGTTACTACACCATGAGACTTTAATAAACTGGTTTTTCAAAGTTTACAGCTCAGAAGAAAGAAGCAAATGAAATCCAAACTGTGAGTATTTCCGGTAACAGTCACACTAAGAAACTTTCCAAATAAAGGGCAGGCCATAAGATAGCACGCTGAAACTGCAAGTGCTACCTTTTCAATGATCTCCAGTCTCTCCTCGTTCTCATAGAGGTTGGGGATGTCTCCAGTGTTGAGGATCATGTTCACGTCTTCAAGGAAAGATTCATCCTAGGATGCATAATAGAACAAGTTGCAGAATTTTGCATGACTGTGATCTGACAAGGACAGAGCATGATAGTAAATAACTCATCTTTGACTAAAGTAAATCAGCAAGCTTGCATTAACTAAGACATTTCAGAGGAAAGAAAAGCAGCTATGATCTCTTTGTGGACTCACTGTCTGCATGCAAGTCACTCATTTATAGTGAATTTTATCAATTTCATATTATGAGAAAAATCCTTTAAAGTAGAAAGGCATCACCTTTCCAGTAAGTCTTTGAATTAAATTTGTGACTTCTCAAATTTTTTGTTATAGCAATCAGTCTTGCAGTAAAATGGTTTTGGTCAGATAAAGAGAAAAAGAGCTATGTCAAAACATCCTTTCTATGTCTGCAGTGGTCTCACATTAAAATAGTTTTCCTCTGATAAAGTGAAAAAAAAATCTATGGCACAATGTCATTTCTATATCTGCCCAACCTGTGTCACAACAATCTTTGAGGTCAAAGGACAGCTGCAAAAAGGTAAGAAATAAAAGTATTGGAAGCCATGCTGTCACTCTCAAAATACAAAGGCCTGATTCTCAAAAGAAAACAAAAGAATTTAAATTATTCAAACATCAGCTAAAAACTTCCCTAATTCCAACTCTTATTTTGGCCAGAATATAGCAGAACAGAGGGTGCGGTGGCAGAGTGGTTAGTACGCTCATCTCCTAATCGGAAAGTCCGGGTTCAAGCCTCGGTTCGGACACTGATTTTTTCGCCCCCTCCTGCCCACCCAGCAGTAATGGGTACCTGACTTCGAGTTGGGGAAGTAAAGGCAGCGTGGAAAGGAACTGGTCACCCTACCACAATATGCCAAAGGCCCAGGAAGTTGTCTCACTAACAAGGCAATCCCAAATGTCCCGATCGGAGGCGGGAACAGCTTTACTTTTATAGCAGAACAATTATTACTAGCCCTTTGCCCCGCTCAATAATAAATATGATGGTCTCTTGCATCTTGACAAATAATCCTAAAGTAGTATGCATGAAACAGCTTTGCCTGGGAGATAGACATAGAAGAAGTAGATTGCCCGAGTACTGCTTCCATCTCTTCTGATCCTGACTTCCTTGATATACTCCATAGGAGAGACATTGTCAGTCCATATGGAATCAAAGAAGGTGTAAGGGTGTATCTTACTATTTCTTTATCTTCTCTGCTAGATGTCCGTAAATGTATTATGCACTTAACATACCAATGCTGGCTATCACCAATGCAGCATCAATTATTTTTTTCCCGTTAGGGTCATATTATCTTGCTCAAGGGCTCATTTCTATAACCTCCCATCTAAAAACTAAGCATAGACACTGTACTCTTTGTGAATCTTTGTTGACAAACCACTTAATCACTCAGGCCGTGATTATGAATCACCTTGATTTGGTGGTCACCAAAGAGGAAGACAGTGGACACGCCTTGGTCCCCGGCCCGACGCATCATCCTGCGCAAGTCGTCACGCCACTCAGTCATGGAGTAGTTCTTGGTGATCTCGATCTGGAACAGCTCAAAGTCTGACATGAAGGCGGCCAAGCGAGTCACACTCTGTCGGCCGCTGCCTCCGATGCCTAGCATGGGGAATAGATAGAGATAATCATAATCATCATCATCATCATGAAGAGCTCAACCCACATTGCCAAGATGCAACCATGAAAAGGAGGATGTCAAATATATATTTGAATGTTCAGGAACAATGGCAATTCGAATGGAGTTATTTGGACGAGTGGAGGTGCCTCTGAGTATAATGACAATAAGGCCGAAAAAGAGTCTCGCTCTCGCTCGAAGATTTCTTTGTGGAGTCCACCACGCCCATTAAGGAAACAACAAAAAATCATCATCATCATCATCATTATCGTCATTCATCATCAAGTGCTAGATCTGCGACAGATATAGCTATCATGGTTCTCCATTCATTCCTTTGCTTGGATGCTCTCAAAAAAGCTACATTACTCTGATCTGTCCCAGTCACCCATCTGTATAGATTCTCAAAGTAGGTTGCTCTGGGCCTACCCCTGCCTCGTATGCCTTCAATTTTGCCAGTGAGAGCTAGATGTTCAAGACCTTTATATGTCTATTGAGGTGTCCCACCAACTGCATTTGTCTTTTCTCTGTTGTTTTTATCCTCATTTGATTTCTTATGGAATAGAGAAACAGTCAAAGTTGTTTGTGATGGCCACCCATTGTCGGGGAGAAAAATGGTTGTCTTTGACAGGAAGAAGTCTTACACAGGGTCATTACAATGTAAACAATATATGCAAAGAAAGAAATGGGAAGTGGCCATTTACACAGGTGACTCTCTAATACACATGGCTATTAGAGCAGGTTTGACTGTAGTTAACTCACTTGCGACTGGGCCCTTTCACCAGTCACAAGCGTTGAAGACTGGCGTTTTTGGGGGTATTTCAATAAATCACCACAAGTCTCAGAATTTCCCTATTGTAATTATTTTTTGACACAGTAAAGTAACATTCAAGCTTAATCTAATACAAAAAACCAAAGTTGTCTAAGTTTAATACTTTAATTTGTATGATTTTTTAAAAATTGGCATGAATTTGATTTTCCAAAAAATTTCCAGAGACGTGACAAGTGGAATGAAATTCACTACAACAACAAAAATAAAAGTTCAAAGTGTTCTGGTTTGATTTGTATACATGTGCGAGTGTTTGGTGAAAATATAAAAGCTGGTCTGTGCATTGATTCAGACCTATACACTGAAAATACATAGACAGATGTACGGCACGGCGTTGTGATTTCGTTGCGCGAAAAACAACACCGGTACTAGTGCAAGATCTAGCCCTAAAACTACGACTCGGGCCGTGTTCAGGTACATATCCAGGATCCTAACTATTAGACACATCATATTCTGAGACACTAAAACTAGTAAAACATACAGAAGTATAGAAAACGGCGAAATTATGTGATTCTGGTTCATGCGACTTCTTCAACCGTTACTACGACGCGACTGTCGGATTACTATCAGCTGTATAGAAAAAAACAAAGCGCGAGTTCCGGTCTGTTCAACCCCAGTTGGGGTCACTGTCCTTCACCTTCAATAACTTAAAAACTACCGGCCCCAGAGATACGAAACGAAGTCTAAGTAGCTCAGGCTTGGCCAAACAAGGGTACGAGGCGGGTCTCGCGATCCGTGCGTGATTTGTAGAGCGAAAAAAAAAATCCAAAGTTGGTCACGCAGGGCTCGTGTGACCCGTCGCGAGCGTCGCGGCGAGGGTCACGCAACTGTTGTGTGACCCGTCTGAAGTGAGTTAAAAACATTATTTATGCTTTATGCTATATTGTGATGAAGAGCGTAAAAAGGCATTGTATAAGCCATTGATATTTCATCACCTTTGTTTTGACATTATGATATTCATGAGAACTCAACATCAATAATAAATTAATCATATTTCTGACTGAAATAAAGTACAGTGATAATGAGACACTGAGTTGAGCACAGTTGTAGAACGTAGCTAGTCAGAGTGACAACATTAACACTTTACCAGAACGTCACCTCAGAACTATTTTGTCCAAAGTCCCTCTTTACTTAAGAACACTTGGGACAAAATAGTTATGAGGCAACGAGAAATGAAAGTGGATAATACATGTAGTACTGATGAAAAGTAAGATACACTGTCCAGTTATAGTGAGATGAGATGAGACAGAACTGGATGAAAAGATAGTTATGAAATGAGCTGAAAAGATGAGACGATAAATGTTCATGAAAAAAAGTTAAGTAGGGACCTATGCAAACGCGCTTAACGTGGAACCCACAAGGAAAACGTAAGAAGGGAAGACCAAAGATGACATGGAGGCGAGCGGTACAAGCGGAAATTGAAAAAGCGGGGACATCATGGAAACAGATAGAAAAGGATGCTCAAGACAGGCTTCGCTGGAGTAATGCTGTTGATGGCCTGTGCTCCACTGGGAGTTAAAAAGGATGAGAGAGAGAGAGATGCAAATGCATACACAGAACTGTTTCAATGACTATACTTACCCACATTACTGTTTCATTTACTGCACTTACCCACAAGAAGGCAATGACCATTGGGCTGTTTGAGAACTCGACTGATGCGAGAAATGTGTTCAACAGCAAAGCGGAACATAACTAGGTCCATAGGGGCTTTGCTCATGAGGTTGTAGTCTTCAAGGTAATGCTCTACAGTCTGCAAGTAAGAAGAAGTTAAAGCTTTTCCATTATAATCTGCAAACAGTAGGGGAAACTATGCCTCGTACAGACAATTGCTTCTTTGTAAAGTATCTCAACAGGGAAATAGCCCTAAACAGCTAATAATTAAAGAAAAAAACAACCATTCTAACCCCTCCCCCCCCCCCAAAACCAAATGAATCTTTAAAATTGTAACTTCTTTACACTCCATGCAAAGGAAAAACTGTTAATACCCCCCCCCCCCCCCCCACACACACACACACACACACACACTCCCATGGCCTCTTTACTTCATACTCAATGGACAAAGTTACACCACACTGCTCTTTGTCATCACTTTGAAAGTAAATAAATGTGAAGGTTTAACAACCCTATGAACAGTTAGGTTATTTAAGGGTCAGAACCTCCAAATTAAACATCCATCTCCAATAAGAACAGACCACTTGGACTGAGAGTCTGAATAACTCCACAAAGCAATGATGAGTTCAAGAACACCTTGTTGGTGATTCGAACTAGGGCCATCCATCCCATGGTCCAGTATAATAACAACTGAGCTAACAGAGCACCCTAGATGAATGTTTAAAACATGCACAAAATTATTAAAAAACATAGCTTTTTATTTCTTTCAACAATACATCAGTGACACTGTGTTTAAGTGGGTAGTCACTAGGGTGTGTCCTTGAGCAAAACACCTCGACCATAGCTAAAAAAAAGAAAACAAGGTGCTGCACAGTGGCGACCAGCAATGGGGTGTTTGTAGTAGGCCTATATCTTTATGTATGCGTATGTAAGTATTTATGAATCAATGTATTTATGCATTTATATACAATATAAAATGTATAATTATGGTACACCATTGTAAACAAAATTTCCCAAAAGGGATCAGTAAAAATGGAAGTTTAAAAAAAACTGACCTCCCTAAGCTCATCTAGCTCCTGTATCTCATCGTAGAGACGTTCCTCTCCCTTGGACTTCGTCATGAAGTCACCAAAGAAGAGAGCACGAATATCCTCGTCTATGATGAGTTTTCCAGGCTCAACAATGTGGCTAAAGAGGTTGTTGAACTTTTCCTTAAAGTGCGTTTCAATTCCGTGCTGAAATCATCAAGGTCACCCACTGGTGTCAGTTAATATGGTACGGCACAAGAAAAGTACAAAAAACGTATTGATGAATTATTGGACACATGTGTTCCATTTTAAGACAAAAACCATTTAAATTTTAAACAAAGTAATGTAAACAGAAAAATTAAAACCATACAATACCTGAAAAATAAAGGACTTATTGCAAAACTGCCTAAAAATTTGAAAAACACACAGTCAGGAAATTGAGGAAACTAAGTCTCTATTTTTGTAACTCAGAGTGCTGAAGAGTTAAAACATGACTTTTTGGAAGAAGTTAATACACAATCAGTCTACCTACCTTGACCATTCTAAAGAACTGGTCGCGGTCATCATCGTCCACCAAGCGGTCATAAAAGACGCGGTAGACTTCGTGAATCCAAAGTCGAGTGATTTTCTGACTGCCCTCTACACCTTCTGGCACACACCCTGGCTTCAACAGCAAGATGCCCTGGAATGGATGAGACATGACAAAACGTTTGAAAAAAAGTTCTTTTTAAGCCCACTGGCATGACAGCGGTCATCAAGGCACTGAAAAAGCAAAGCAGATAGATTTAGTGACATGGCGACATAATTTTGTCAACTTGCAAACATATGGTGATCCATATCATCACACCCAATTGATAATAACAGTCAAAAAATCTTTTTTATAATCAATCCACTGCATCAGTCAATAATCAGAACCAAAGAATCATCAAATACTGGGAGAGTCTTCTGCCTGACTTACCTGTACCACACGAGCAAAATCTCGCAGATTGAATAAGTAATGTGACTTCGACGGTGTGGGCAGGAAGTTTGCAATAGCACTCTGGTAGACGTCCATGGTTGCAGTTAAAATCACCTGTAAACAGATACACATGAATCAAGTTAACTCTTTAACCATGTCCGGACAGTGGCAGCATCTGGTAGTCTAGGTCCGTAACCATGGCTGGACGGTACCACTGTCTGAAGCAAAGTTATTATTGTATTATGGTTTGGGCCAATTACAAAAAACTACGAGCTAACAATTTTAAGCCTTTAGTTTGACCTGGAAGTCAAAGATAAATGAATTCTATGTCTGGGTAATGTTTTATTGATCAGTTTGACATGAAACAGTAATATGTCGGGTCGCATTTCCACAAACACGAGAGAATTATGCCGAAACATGATTATAAATTGCATGGTTAAAGAGTTAAGCATTGCTAAACTTAAACTGCAAAATTATAATTGCAAACAGATTTCAAAAGCACAGGCTCATAGAAACAAAAAGAGAGAAAATAGAAATAAGAATAAGTAATTTAAGATTGAAAATATAACTTCATTTTTCTGCTCATATTATTATGCACACCAATTGTCTTTGTTAGGTTCAACTGTCAAATGTCACCATCCCCATATTCATCATCTGGTTATCTACTTTTTACCACAAGAGACCTCAATCTTCCCAGGTTGCTGATTTGATGAATTACTTAATAAAATTGTAGACCACTGTTGGATTTTCTGTTGTCAATGTATAATGTAGGAGGTCGCTTCCCTCATTTCTCTCAGCCTTTATTTTGCCCTACAGCACGCTTGCTATCAGTTCTACTTTTTAAGTTTCTGTTTGCATAACAAGGTTGCTTGAGTCTCTTTTTGTAGATCTCAGAGAGCACAATATGCCGTGTATGAAGTTCTGTCAGGACAGTTTCATTTGTTATTTTATCTGTCCATTTGACTCAAAGTTTCTGTAAAACTACGTTCCTGTCGCTTGGATTTTGTTTTCATCTTCCTCTTTTACATGCCTTGGCCTCACTTGCATAGAGAATTACAGGCCATATCAGACTTTTCAAAATTCTGATTTTCCAATATCTAGGTAGCTACTCCCCTGTCTTACCAAATGTTGCTTAGCTGTATCATCTTTTGTTCTGCCATGCCTATTCTACATTCAACACCAGTAGTGCATGTTAGCTTATTTCTTAGTTGCTCATAGTTAAATCTAGCATCAGTGCTGTACTGGCACGGGGCTTTGCATTACAAGCAGAAGACGCGAGTTCGATTCCCATGTGGGGAAGTTTTTATTTAATCAAGTATCTCCATTTGTCTGCTGCGACATTGCATTACCCTCAAATTTGATAAAGCTGTCTTAATATTAGAGATTGACATTGGGCAGGGATTCAATTTAAGGACAGGGGTTATTTCAGGTGTACCTAAAATTTACAGTAAGATGGAATTATCAAGGTAGCTTCTAAAAACAGAAGGAACTCCTCAATTTCTTACCCTTGAGAAGCGTCTCTGAGTGGTCTCAAAACCCTTGAAATGCCAGTCTATGATAGGAGAAAAGATGTTCTTCATTGTATCCTCATCAAACATTTCAATGCCGATGACGTTGAAGTGTCGAATCAAGCGAGGGGTCACAGTGTTCCGACCACCACCAGGAGGACCCATGGCTGCCAACATGACAATGTCTACCAGGTTCAGTATACTGGTGTCTTTTCTGAAACCACACAACACATTTGTCAGCTTCAATTTCATCCCACTATATCAAACTCAAGGTAATTTAACTGGTAGAAAATCTGATCTGATAACAGCAAAAAGAACGTAATTGATTGAAAACATCTCTAGTTTTATTGGAATAAGATAAAAAAAAAACCCTCCTCTCCAAACAACTTACGTTTGAAGAAGAGTTTGAATTTGGTTCCTCCACAACAGTTATATATTGAAATTTGCATTGGACCCAAAACTAACAGACATAAAACTTTTCCCGAAAAAAAAAGAATTATTTAAGTTTACTAGGAAGAGATTGTTAAAAGGAGCTTCAATCTTTCTAGAGGCTCATAATTAACAATACAAGCCATATGGAAAACAGCATATCTTCAGTATGTACAACAAAATGTTTTTCCCTGAAATATATTTTTCAGCCGAAAACAGTATTTCAAAATTTAGCTCAGTTGGTATCATGCAGACCACAGAGCTAATAACCCTGGTTCGAATCCTAGACTGGGTGTTCCTGAACTCGGGTCGTTTTGTCGGGTTTCAAGGCTCAACCTATTCGGCTCAGTCCTATCGGTGGTTGACGTTAAATTTGGAGGTCCTGCTTTTTAAATAACTTAATAGTGTTGATAGGGATGCTACACCCATACACTTACACACTTGAATTAATATCAAAGAAGGAATCCTCCCAGCTCTGCAGTAAGCAGATAAAACGCCTTTTTTTTCATTTTTGGCGCCAAATTCTTTTATTTGCTTAATCGAAAGCCTGATCAATTACACTACTTGTGCGAAAAAATGAAAGTGAAACTGTGACTATTTTTTTAAATAAATTAGAATTCAAATTCCTTTATTAAATGGTTACACTGACAAAAAACCTCTTTTATCTCAAAACTGCTGTGTACAAAAAAAAGGTGTTTTGTCAGTTTACAGCAGAGACCTGTTGTCTCACCTGTCAAACCAGTAGCGGTGGTCAATGTACTGACGAAGGATCTCAATGGGAGGTTGCGCTCCGTACTTCTCCTTAGCTGGCATGTTTAGGTCGTCCACAAAAACACAGAGTTTCTTGCCAGCAGTTGGACCAAAGACACCCTTTTTCCTCCTGATTAAAAAAGAGAAACAGAAAGATCAATCTTTCTGGGTTATGTAATTTTATTAATTTTTTAAAATTCTGAAATGATAACTATGTAGTTACTTATTGTACAATAGCAACACATGATATAATTTCATCCGGTTCCCTGTTTTCGCCATTGGCATTCACGTTGGTCAAGGAAACTCTCATGAAAAATCACATCTACAAGCCATCTCACTGAAATAGCTAGACATCTTTGACCCGGCTGGGTTCACTAACCACTTAATCACTTGATGCCCACTTTAAATTTTTGGAAGGGGCTCCCCACAGATTCTCATTGTTTCTTTGGAAATTAGCAGTTATCCTTGCCTTTCATCACAGTAGTTACTAAGCTTTTATGTACTCAAATTAAACAAGAGTGGAAACACAATGAAAGATAAAAAGCTATCATCACTTTGACAGTTAACTTCAACATCAATGAAAAAAAAGGTTTCCTTCGTCCTCCCTCTTCTTATTCTGTGATCCCTCAACCATATGGCTTCTGGGTGGCAAGTCCTAGAATATTGTACTGTATACTTTCTAGGAAGTTGAATTTTTTTCAGAATGCTATCAGTTCTGCTGGGGTAATAATGAAGATTGTAAAGTGAATAGTCTTGCTGTTGAGCGGGAATTTGCGTTATACAAATCTATTATTGCTGAACAAACATTGTCTCTAACAGGTGTTGCTTGTAGCCAAAGACCTTATTATCCAAGGGTAAAAAAGTCTTATCATACAAACCCTATCCATTTTTCTTTTACATACTCGTACATAGACAGGGAAGGACTGTTTTACCTCTCTAGTTTTGAGAAGATGATGTCTTGCGTCTGGTTGGCAGATGTCTGAGCTGAGAAATTGATGTTGTTGATCACATACTTGTCTCTTGGCAACTGAAAAACAAAAAATGGAACATTTGACAAATTGTAGCTTCATTTAATAATTAATCAATCATCAGCTTAGACATCATATTAAGCTTTTTAACAAAAAACTGATATGCGTAAATAAGTTCCCAAAGATAATTTTTGTTGCAATGAGGTGGAATCGGGCACTTGTCAATTTTTGGGCATATTGAGTAATTAGTATCCTCATAAAGCTTGTTCATTTGTCTTGCTTTCGATGAAATAAAATACTCTTCTATCTCGAATAGAAGTCAAGATATTTGTAATTGAAGAGGGTGGGGGTCATCTGCTTTCAGAGGTAAAATTAAGGAGAAAATGGCCGCCAAAGTTTGGTGACTTCCGTAGTTTGAGAATCCATGGAAAGTGAAAATTTACATTTTTGAGCCTTTAATCAATGATTTTCAGTAAAATCTACATAGACATGTGTTTTCAAATGATATTAAAGGTGTTGAGCCAAAGAACAAAAATTCGAAAAAAATTGTCAAACCAGTGAGAAACTGCTAGTTTCTTCAATTTCATTATTTTGATGAGTGTCTGTTTTCAGCATGATGCCTCACATTTTCTAAAAACCACATTTTTATTATAAAGGGAGCCACTTTTCACCTGGGTAATCATTTTCATGACTGATTAAGTTCTTTAAATTCTTCACTTTACTGACTTCATTGATGTTTTATCAAACATGCAACAGTTTATTTAGCATAGCCATTGTAAATTATCTAAACGCTTTTACCTTCCATGTACTTGTATCCATATTCAAGAATGTATGTGGGTGTTTGTGTATGTGCATGTGCATGCGAGTGTGTTTGTCTATGTAAATGTGTGTGTGTGTGTACTCAAACATACACATGTATAAAAATGTTTGAAATGAAAGTTGGGAAATAACCTCCAGAAGGTAACTGTTGGTGATGGCGCTCTTTCCAGTTCCTGTTGGTCCAACAAAAAGCAAGGGTGTATCCTTTAGCAGGAACTTCTGCAAGAAGTAACGCTGTCTTTCTGTCTCCACTGTGTTGATGATCAGGGCATTGATCTACAAAATTCAATCAGTTTAGTTTTAGTAAGAGATTTACGGCACTTGCAACACAATAAGGTCATATAAGTGCCGAAGAATAGATGTGTAACAGGAGAGTAACATACACAAAAAAGAAGGAGGGGAGATAATGACGACAGATGTTTGATAGGAAAGAAGGAGCAAACCACACCAGAGCACCCGCCAACCACCCACAAAATTCAATCAGGGGAGAGAAATAAACACAATTCAGTCAATGTTTGTCCTTTGGTGCATTATGTCTAACAGATACATGATTGACATGTGAAATGGAATTGACAGGAAATAAATAACGTGAGGTTTAAAAGACCCATGAGCATCATTTGTCGTACTTAAAAGTGAAATTCCAAAGACTATGTGATAGTTAACCTAATCTGTTAGCTTCAATTCAATACAAACAAGCACAGCTGTAACTGCTAGCCTGTGCTTCACAACACATCGTTAGAAGAGTACTCAAAAACTTTCCTATATAAAAATTTTTTAAATAGATAGTAATTGTTAGCTCTAGTTAAAAATAACATTTTTAAAACACCTCTCACCAACAATTTTACAAACACTTCACAGGACAGGATTTTTCTGCAACTTAATACTTTGTTATTTGTCAACGAGTGTCTGCCTTTTTTACATTATAATGCAATTTTCATTTAACTCATGAGCACGTAGTCATCTGCTGCTGAGAAAATCAGCAACAACACCGATAGAAACAAAGAGATGTAACAAAAAAGAAGAACCTACCAGGGCCATGCTTCATTGTTTTAAGGTGTACAAGGATAAAGCAGCTATTGAAACCAATTATCATACACAGCTTAAAACAATTAATGAATTATAAAGTTTTTAATTTGTAATGCTGAGTCCACACCATAACAACCAAAATTTTATTACAAAGCTGATTAGGCAGACAATGCACCAGAACCCCATAACAATTGAAAGACAAAAGATGACAATACTATAAAAAAAATCACTTAATGCATCTGTGATAAGATAAATACAAGTCCCCTTACCAAAACACCCATGAGAACAGCAACAAGTACAGGTGTGAATATAGGCTGGTGATAGTGAACTTTTATGAATGACACTGGGTGCATTTTGAATAGACTGAAGGCCTTGTGTATTTTAACTTGGGCCAGAGTTGCTACCACAGGAAACCTCTACTGACTATTAAAAAGAAACTCCCACAAAACTGGCTTCATCTCAGCTTGGAAGAATATGTTCATCACAAACATATATTGAAACTTCTATGCTAATTTGTTGTAGTTTGAGAAAATCTCATCACATTTGTCGTATCCCAACATGAATATCCCACTCTATTTGATCAGAGACATACACTCTTGCAATATACTGGTGCTTGTGATTGATTCCAATTATGACAATGACGATAACACTGATGGCAATGAACGGACACACTGCCAAAGAATTAACATAGTCATTAGAATGGAGAAGACAAGACTTTTACCAAACTGACTAGAGAAATATTGGCAATTCATTTCACACACACCCCCCCCCCCCCCCAACCCCTCAAAAAGAAGAAAAAAAAAATAATATTAAAATATTAAATAATTCATAAAAACACTGACTACAGTGGGGTGGAGCGTAAGCATTGAGGCCAACAATATCAGGGTTCATAAAGCAAACAACTGTTGTATTGCCTAACAAAGCATACAACAGACCAACTGCTAGATTATTATTGCTGTTGTTGCTGTTACTTTTTGATACACAACTGGTGACAATGGCACACTCTTCTCCTAGAGAAGCATTCAAATATTATAAGCACATAACTTAAATGGGATGTTCTTGAATCATCTGAATTGTACTAGAACCAAATGTCCATGAGAAAAATCTATAATACAAAAAGCAAAAACTACACAAAAATTCCCCTGTGGCAACATATCACAGATGGACTAAGTCATGGAGCATCTATAAGAAATGTCAAGACACTGAGTAGAGTCCTACTGTTTATGACAAATAGATCTATAAAAAATGAAAGGACTAAGAAAGGAGAAGAAAGAGATGAGTTCTTGTCCTAGGTTGTGAACTTTATCCTAGAAGGATGGGGGAAAAAGTGTAAAGGTGGCAGGGGTGTGTGTCTGTGTGTGTGTGGGGGGGGGGGGGGGGGGTTAAGGTAGAGAGGTGCCTTTTCCCCTCTCATCCCCATTACTGTTTTGGGCCACTGCTGCGCACACAAATATCTCCATGACAATGTTGTCAGTTCTAATTAAATTAAGATGCTTGTAATTTTTATGTAGTTATATCTCACTTCAGAAAGCAGAATTGTTCAGCACCTGCGACTACATATTCCTTAAACAGTTACACAAACCAAATAATTAAAATATAAACATATTAATTTTGCGGAGTAACATAAGAGGAGCAAGTGGAAGAAGCTCTCCTCTAATGTAAACTGTTTCAAATTTAGACGAAAACAAAATACAGGATCTGAGACTGATTTCTGAGAGGCATACTGCGCAGCTGCTGCTGTTGTAGTAGTATGTTGAAAGAAATTATGTTTTCCCACAAAAAGCTGCTACTGCTGCTGCTACTTTTATCATTCGATCAATCTAAAGCGCTCTGAAATATCAGCACAACACACAAGAAGAGGAGGCAAAGACAAAGAGACAGACAGTTTGGCAAGAGTAGACCCAAGAACTAAAATCTACAAACATGCAATATACACATCGGTCTAACATGTGGGGGAGGGAGGATGGGAATATAAATCTTGAACAAAATTTTAATGTGCAGAAATTCAAAATGTTATCCTGTATAATAGACTCTGTCATGCTCTTTGTGGAAAACAAATGTGAAGGGCCTATACATGTTATTATTATGGCCTGCTGGCCAGTCATGCAAGAATATTGCATAAATAGAAAATGCATCCGTTTCTCAGAAAAAATGCATGTACATAAATTCGTTAGTTTTGTGCAGTATTGAGCTGGCTAGTATCAAAATGAAGTTTCAAAAATCATCAAACAAACACTGAAATGCTACCCAAAAAAATTTGTAAAACATTTTTGCAGCACGAGCATTTTCATCTTTTTAAAAACTGGCCTAGCGAGGGCAGGTGGGGGAAACATAAAAAGGAGACAAGAATATGATCGAGGAGTCCTGAGAGGAGCAAGGGACACATGCAAGCTCCCCATCTAACAGAAGGGCTACTGACCACAAACTACAAGTCAGACTAGGACACAAGCAGGCTGATACAGGTCAGCATGCACAAACGAATCTGCATCAGGGTACACTGTACTATATGGACATGCCTAGAGGAAGACTTCCACCACCAGCAACAGCAAAGAGAAAGGACCAACTACGGATCTAAGGAGGAAGGAGGATTCACTCTCTCAACATTCTAAAGCAGATTGACATTGTGTTTTATGGCCTGATCTGGGCAAGAAACAGAGGTAGCTGGAAGGGAGACATGCGGGTGAAACGTGTGTAATAATAGCTTGTTCACTTTTGTCTGACCCCGTTAAAATAATTCAAGCTCATGTATTGATTTGCCAACTTTGCATGGCACTCCGGTAGCCTAGACACAAGAGAGCATATAATTTTTTTTAAAACTGAAAAATGGATCCAGTAATAAAAAAGTTTTTTTATTTAGGATCAAATACATGTACTACCCTTTGGATGCAAACACATGATCACTAAAATAAATAGAATATAAATACAAAAAAAAACTAACCTACAAATTGCTCATTTTGAGACAGCAACATCACCCTGCCCCCATATGAAAGTGTAAACTAGTAGATTTCCTCCCCAGACCATCTAGATATCTTCCAATGAGTCTCGAAAAGTACACGCCTATCTGTCGGACCTTGTTTCATAGGCGTACATTAAAGTGTGGTAGTATTGATGAAAATAGGTCAACTTTTTTAATGTTATAGGTTTACGCTATAAATCTCCTGCAATTATTTTAGCCACTTTAGGCCAACATCAATGTACATATCAATGTGTCAGGCCCTTACTCTGACATGACTTTCAATAATGGGGTTTTGGATCCATTTGGTAATCCAATGCGTTTAGACGTGTAGGCAAAGACCTGAAAAGATTACCCAGGGTGCTTTGTTTTTCTCTTGTTTGAACAACAGTCAGATGAAAGTGAGCAATGTAATACAATTCCACTGAATGATAACTGTGCTGATACGTGTTTATGAGCATACTGTAGGTGTCTAGTTTGTTAAAACTATGATAAATAAATAGAATAAGTCGTGCTTTCTGTACAAATATACGCTTTTCCGTCTTCTGGTACTTGATGATTACTTGTTTCATATAGCCCTATCATTATGCTCTCCTTCAGGAAATAATGCTAAGCCTACTAAAGAGAACTAAAAAAAATTGTAGCAGACTTTCAGAACGAAAAGTCTATTGCCCAATCAATTCATTTGTGAAAGACAATTCATATTGTTTTACTTCAACTGTGAATTCCTGAATGTGTAGGCCTTATATGAGAAAAGTAGCTCAACAAAGAGGAGGTCAGAATGTAATGACAAAGGAGATTTAGATGAAAGGGGTGG